GGAGCTGGAGAGCACAGCTAAGAAGATATCCCAGAGACCTGACAGAAACATGTCAATACTGTCTGACGTCTCTCCCAGAGGACCCTCCAGTTAAACAAAGCCTGTAAGTGTTGTGCAGAGACTGTCCGGCGGTCCCAGAGGGCCACAGAGGTTGTCTCTTGGGGACCCCTGGACACTCTCAGAGGCCCTAGAGGACCCCTGGACCGTCTTTGAGGGCCCTAGGAGACCCCTGGACAATCTCTGTGGCACTAGGGGACCCCTGGACTTGTGTGAATCGCAGGGTGTGGAGTTCCTGTTCCTTCCCTGGTAACAGAGCCCTTGTCAAACCCATCCTCCCGAATTTCTGTTCTCTGACCCGCCTCAAAAGTGCCTCCTGGGACAGTTCTGCGCTGTTTGAAAGTTTTGTTTTATTTTCCTTTGCAAAAAAAAGCCCCCAGCTGTAGGGGCTGATGTTGAACTCGGGACTCCTGTGTTGCTGGTTATGGGGCTTGTAGCTGAGCAGCGCTCACTGCTGTACCTGGGTCAGAACAGAGCCTGCAGGCAAGCACAGCACAATTACAGGCAAGCCAGGCAGTGCATAAAAATAACAGCTGCCAAATGCTAACCTATGACACTACAGATACACAAAACATAGCTTTATATTTAAAACACAGGATATGTAAGAAAATGTCTTTTGAAAATTGTGAAAAAAGTGCAATACAGGTTTGACTGTCTACAACTTAATAGTTCATTTCCCCAACGGGTCCTTTTCTTTTTTTTTTTGCTCAGCTTTGAACAACATTTCTAACAATTTGTATCCATAAGTAAATTTTCTTACAGTTATATTAACATTCATGAGGATGTACATTATGAGAAACATAATAAATGTCACCTGATCTGTCTTGAATTGGACCTCAAATCAAGGCCCAAGGAGACCCTCCCAGTTCAGATACTGTAAACAGTAGTAACACATAAAACCTTTAAACGCTACTTGCTCTCTTTAAGGTCAATTCACAAGAAAAAAGTTCAAAAGTTAAAAAAGTTAAAAAGTTCATTTTCACACAATTGCTCTTGCAAGTACTCTGAACCGACGCCGTTGCTCCTCTGAGAGCAGTTTTGAGACGCCTACAGGAAACTCACGGACGTGATTTCTACCGTATGGACAAGCGAATGACGATCCATCAGCTTGTTAACGTGAGATTGAGTTGCTGTAACTGGTTTGCCACAGATGCCACAGCTCAGTCCCCAGAGATCCTACTGCCCTGTCCTGTCATGGGGACTTCAGGCTCCTGGGGCCTGAGCTGGATCCCCTTTTCAGACATTTGAAGTGCCTTCCATTTGGATCACTTGACCCTTCACCAGTAACCAAGATAATAGGGCTACAGAAATAAAGAGTCTGGACCACAGGCGAAGCATCTCGAGGTGTCTGCTAGTTCTACAAGGACATCCGGAGAGGGAGCTGGGCGTTATCAGCACTCACCATCACGGCAGCACCAGAGCAGGGCTGGGTGTCCTCAGAGGGCAGGGTTTGTCAGCCATGACATGTGCCTGTGTCACTCAGACTTTGCGGAAGGGGGTGCTGGACTCTCTCCAGCTGCCATTAAGTCAGGAAGAGCCTTATAGGGCACTGGGGCCAGGGGACACAGTATCTCCCCCAGTGCTGCCCACGCACACACGGCCGGGGAGCTGTGTGATATGCTTCTTCTGGGGAGGCTGGAGCTGATCATGTTACACATGTGACCACAGGTGACACAGAGGCCCGGGGGGGGTGCTGTGCCACTGGGGTATCAGACACCAGTATCCATGATCCACACCCAGCAGCTCCCAGAGACCCGATCCCAGCTGGCGGGTGCACAAGGGGTG